TGTAGGAGACTAATGGTGAGGGTGATGGGGTAAGGGGGGAAATACAATGAATTAGGAAGAAGAGACTTCCGGTAAGTGACTTCCGTTTCATACAAATCTGTCGTTTTTAAAATTTCAGCCCCCCTAGTACGCAACATAAAGAACTTCGTTCTAAAAAAAAAGTCCCCTACACTCACTCCCTCACCCTGTCTCTTCCAACCATGCTGCGCTTGTCTTCCCTCCTAGCTAGCACACTTCCTCTCATCACTTCCCATTTTGCCGAGCCCCGCCATTTCCCTTCACACTACACCATCAAAGCACACACACCAAGCAATTAATGTTTCATTCAATCATAATTTTTGTTCCCCTCGGTAATTTTTATTCAACTTAAAATTTTTTTCTTGTACAATTTTAAAACAAAAAAAAATACTTTCCAAGAGGATAAGAACACTGGACTTCCTGTATATGAACTAAGTCTCATACCCTGTTCAGCTATGAGTGCTCCCAACATGATATTTTCAGTTTCTTCTACTTATACTGTGGTTCGTAGCTGAATTTTAACTTAATTATTCATTTACTGATTATCAGTTAAATGGTTCGATGATACGTTATATTAATTATTAAATTATTTATTCGATTAACTTTTTTTTTTCAATTGATTAATTATTTTCCAACCNGCAGCAGCTTTTCTATACATTAATAAATATTTATTTAATTTTTATTTATTCGTTAGTTTTCAAAAAAATTATTACATAATTATTCTTACACTTTATTCATTGCATTGTAAGGTTTTCCAACTTTTTTTTCAATAGTCTTTTTTCATCGTTTTTTCATCAATGGTTTATTCATACGAGGTTCTATGATTACAGTAATTAATTTCTATTGCATTTTATTCTTTCGTAACTTTTGTATTCGAGACTAAGGTGATTTTTTTTTAATTTAAAAACGTTCATTACAGTGAGTGGGTGGAAATTTTACAGAGATAGAAGGAGCACAAATATGTAGCAATGCTGTCAATAATTTTTTTCATATGGATGTACCCATTTATGGCCTTTTACAAATACTTGACCCTTTCTTTCTTATTTAAAAAACAATAAAAACTTGTGGATTAATTTCAAAATTTTATAGGTTTATATAATGGTAATCCATCGTACAAAACATTGGGAGCTTTAAACAGATCATTTCCTTATAAATGCAATTTTACGTGATTCTTCCATAGGGTTAAATAATAAATTGAGGTTTTTTTTCAAATTAAACATATAAAAAATGTACAGTTAAACGATCTGTAATTTTTTGTGAGTATTTAGTATGCTATAACGAATGCATATTTCAATGATATTTATCAAAAAACCTATGTATGATAAACGCCCTGCAGCGACGTTCACTACCATGTAATGATGTAATACTATCCTATTAAAGATGAAAGCACGCAGTCTTGTACTGGCCAGCTTGTCAGCACATCGTGCCATGGCTTTAATCTAAACTATTTTTATCTACTTAATACATTGTTAATAATTGTTTATTTTTTTAATATTACAACATTTATTAAAGCCACTTCCAATTACTGAAAATCATAGTTCAAATAATAAAACTGCACAACCTGTGATACATCGCATAGGGTTATTTAAAATATCGTTCTATACAAGGTATTTTTCTCAGTATTTTCATTCATAAATGGTTTGCCACAGAATGTTATAGAAGTATAATTTTATTCTTGGGTGCCCAAGTACCCACTGTCCACTGGTTCAATTTATCGATCACTTACGGTGATACGGGCGTTTACAGTTTCAGCTGTTTTTTATCCCAAAAATTTGAAATTTTTGGTAATGCCATGGCTTCGTAGTCGTCTGTAGAGATATATACATAGTGGACGGTCTGAATATTTGTTTTAGTTGTTAAAATGATTTTCTAAAAGTATTTTTTTCAGTTTTCGTTTACTAGGCCCTAGCTAGGCTTAATAATTTTTTTTTTACAACTAAAATTACCTTCTAGACAGTCAATTGTATCACTACCAACGACTTCAAAGCCATAGCACTAATTTAATTTCGAAATATTTAGCTAAAAAAACAAGCCAAAACTTAAACTTGGAAATTACACCTGAAAGAAGAGTTGCAACTGAAAGTTGCCACTGGAAGAAAGAAGAGTTACAACTTTCAGTTGCAACTTTCAGTTTTAAGTTTTGGCTTTTTTTCAGCTAAATATTTCGAAACTCAATTAATGCTATGGCTTTAAAGTCGTTGGTAGTGATACGTGGACTGCCTAGAAGGTAATTTTAGTTGTAAATAAATTCAGTTGGAATGGGTTCAAGTCCTTCAAAATCAAAATTGGACACTGCCATCCAAAGCTTCAGCGAGCGATTCAATTCAAATTGATAGAGATCAATATTGATTTATTTTTTTTTTGCATTTGGTACAACAGACTCCTTGTTTGCAACGAAACTAGACTCTGAAATCGTATTTTGATGTCAGAAACTGATTTTGGTAAAAAGTTTAAAAAAATTTTGAGTAAGTATAAAAAATGACTAGTTTTTGCTGGCAGTCTGTTAACACAATTTCCAAGTTTACTGATTAGCCATTTGTTATATTAAGCCAAAATTTTTTCAAACTTCTTACCAAAATTAGTTTCTGACGTCAAAATACGACTTCAGAGCCTAGTTTCCTTGCAAACAAGGTGTCTGTTGTACTGAATACAAAAAATAATTAAATACTGATCCCTATCAATTTGAATTGAATCGCTCGCTGAAGCTTTGGCTGGAATTCTCCAGACTGACCAGACTGCAGGTTTTCCATGTACAGTGGAGACCGTTTAATTCGTTGAGCGGAAAGTTCAAACACTTAATTCCTATTGGCTGATTCCATCATTCATTGGTCAGCTTTATACTTGGTGCTCAACGAATTAAACGGCCTCGTCTGTACAGGCACCCTTGGTTGCGGGCACATGGCACTGATGGAACCGCGCAAAGCGTAAAGCGTATCGCGTATCGCATAAAATTAAGAAAGGTTATGTATACGCCAGTTTGTGGTCACGAAAAAGCGTAAAACCCGAAGTTCTCAACACTGTACCTACATGTCAAATAAAAAGTTTTCAAGTATTTGTAACTGCCTACATACTCCTTTTTTTATTTTTATTTGAGAGCTGTAAATGCATTTTATACAGCTTAACAACATTTCTCACTTTTTCTTTGCGATATTGCGATATTGGGTCATTGCATGAGTCGTATAGACTTTCTACAATTTTTCCAAAGTTCTTGCGATTTAGCTTATTATCCAAGTTAAAAATCCAACTCATTATACAACTGACACTTTAATTGCTATTGTTGATATTCGCTGCTGACTCTATTCACAGGCTGCGTGCTTTATTTACGCTTTGTGCGAAAGAATTCGTCATCGTGCACATGGGTAAAAAAATACTTGCGTAACTTTATTTTTTCCATGAGTGCGAGCGAGACAGCATGTGTTACGCTAACGTAATAATAACTTTGATTGGTTTAAAAACACTTACGAGCGTATTTTTTACTCCCATGTGCACGATGACGAATTTTTTCGCGTTAAGCGTACCTTACCTAACTTTCCTTGATCCTATGGTTTTACGCGATACGTGATACGCTTTACGTTTTACGCGGTTCCATGTGCCCGCAGCCTAAGGGTGAGCCCATGAGAGTGAGAGAGAGGTGTGCATATTTTACCTCTCTCTCACTCTTATAGACTAAAATGGTTAGGGAGCCTGTACATGGGAGACTTGCACTTGCAGGTTCAGATCAGATTGCCATAAGCCCGTGCGAGTGCGAGAGAGATGCAAGAAAATATGTTCTCTCTCTCGCACTCACACGGGCTTATGGCGATCTGACTTGAACCTGCAAGTGCAAGTCTCTCATGTACAGGCTCCCTTACGCGGTACACGTTACGCTCTCCATGTGACCGCTGCCTTACGCTTTCAAAATTTTAACCGCCCATGCCTAAGCGGAAGGTCCAAACCTCGTATAAAATGTTTTTACATTAAAAAAATAAAGAAATTCAAACGAATATCCAAAGTAGTGAAGTTCCCAAATAAATTTTTACATTAAAGCCAACCATCTTAAATTATGTGATGACTTTTATCAGTGCACTACTCATTCTGAATTATGATTGAAATTAAATTAGTAAATAAAATTTAATGTACATTTTAAAGTCTGTTTTTTTTCTCATACCTGAGTTTAAAATGCCTACATGCAAACAAATTACAGAAATCTGCTTAGAACTGCAATAAAAATTTGAATACTTATTTACTTGTATAAGCAGTGAAATCAATTAAATACGATATTTTTCCACAATTTTTGTACCTTAAAATTGCTAACTTTTGCTGCAGTAATGATTTTTTTGATATTATTTTATTCGGCTAAGTCAGGGCAAGAATCAGTTATTTGTTAGGCTGGGACAAGAGTCAGTTAATTACTTAGCGTTTGTGCCTATTACAGGAAATGAGTCGTTCGAATCATTACAAAAGTTTATTTATACAAAAATACACCAAACAACGATAAGATTTTTAGTCTTAACTCAATTTTTTTTTAAATGGACGGTTCGTTTGGGCATCCACTTCTCCGCTGCTGGAGTTATCGTCTGCAAAGTGAACTTTCCCGTAAATAATCACTGCATCTACGAATGGACATCCTACAGTCGATAATAGAGAAATCTATGTATGTTTAATCGGTAAATAATTTGATGATAATAAAGATAAGAGTAGAAAAATCAACTCCAATGCACCTTATATGAAAAATGAGATAATTAACTACGATTTATCACCAATAAATATATAAGCAGTGTCATACACTTTGAAATGAGAATTAAATGAAAACTTTTCAAGTACAAAATAACCATGTAATCTCATAACTGCGTGAATACTCTTATCTAAGATATAGTTGATTACTTGCACGGATTGTACCCACTTGTGGTAAGAACACTGTATCCATATTCAACAGGTTTCGTCAATAACTGTAGTGCATGCCAAACGAAAAATCAGTGTAATGACCGTGACGTGGATTTCTCCAGTCTTTACCTACTTCACGGTTGCTTTACAAAGTATTTGTTGTATTTTTAGGCTGGATATTTACAATTGTAACTTAGTTGTTGGAAATCCGTGAGTAGTAGTTTGAAGGGAAGCGAAAACAGTGGCGATGCGTGGTGGACGTCATTTATCCAAGGGTGACATAAATGGGGCTCAAGATGCTGAGAGAGTTAGTTTGTGTGTTAATGTTCTTGCTTGAATCCCTACCTTCATTTACTAAAAGAATTAAAGTTTTCTCAGTACCAGATGCATACATTTTTAATGGTCATAATTATTTTAGGAAGCATTATTAGATCAAGATAGCGATCCTGATCAAGATATCGTATTGAAGTAAGATTTAATTTTTTTTTATGCTTTTTCTGTAGAAATGTGTTTAAGGTTATTAATCTGTCTCGGTCTAACTATATCATTAGGTATATTGTGTATAGTTCTTTAAATAGAAGACGGAGAGAGGTTTTTGGCAGTGTCTATACAATTTTTTTCTTACTGAATGTTTATGTTATAACCTCTACTAAAATATAAAATGATTTTTAAACTGCATTAATTTTTTTATCTTAGTCGTCCAAGTTCTGCTGATGGACAGTTACACATCGATGGAAAAATATCAAGGTAAGAAATTTTAAGAATGTTTGATGTTATAAGAGCTATTTTTATTTTAATACAGATGATTCTCACACTGGTCTAATAGAGTTAATTTTTATAACCCTTGTGCATTTGCTGTCAAAGAATATGAGTTTTATTCATCGAAAACTTTTATTTTTTTAATTACAACTTTCCATTATTACAATTTTATATCAATTTTAAGAAGACTTTAAACAATTAATAATTATAATTTCGATAACTTGTTCTATCGAGAACAAATACGCACAAATAAGATTATTTTTTTATTGTTTTGAGTTTTTACTAATTTGTAGTCTCCATATTGTTTAAAGATATCTTTTTTTTATTAGCTCTATTATTTCCTTTCTTTTTTTTAAACAGTCATTCTCTTAGTAAAATTGATACGCTGTAACAAAACGTGTAAAGTTCATTTGTTAACTAACAAATAAAACGAGTCTGACCTGTTTACTAGAGGACTTATTCTTAGATAGCAAAGAAATTTTTCAATAATTCTTTGTTAATAAATAAGTACTTGAGGTAAAAACGTTAAATATATACTTTCGTGCATCTTTTTTTCCTATTTATTCTATAAAAAATTTTTAACGTCCTTTTATACGTTAATTAAATGTTTAATAATCATAAGTAAACCAAAAAAACTCATTTTTTATTTTAAGTAAAATTGTGTTTTAGAATGTTTTTGTGAATTAAACAAGGGAAATTCTGTGGTTAAAAATGGTCGTGCTTATACTATGGGCACTAAGTGCAACTAATGCCCCCGAAGGAAGTGGTTTCTGTATAAACATTCGTGCCTAAATAGCAAACAATATTTTTCTAGTTTAAGACACAAAGTCTGCGTTTCACCGCCGGGCAAGCTTTGAGCCTGCTAAATACTTTGAACCCTTGGGCAGAATATTATTTTTTCTACTTTAGGTGTTTTATTTTTCATTTTTGAGAGTTTCCACACCCACAAGAGAAAAAATCGACGCCTCGGACGAAAACCAGCCCAGTTCAGATTTTTCCATTTAAAATAACATTGATTTTTCCATTTAAAATAACATTGAAAAATCTGAACTGGGCTGATTTTCATACAAGGCGTTGAAATAGAGTTGACACCTGAAGGCGTCCAGCCAGAGCAAGAACAGAGTGCTTGCCCTGGTGACATGTGAAACTAGATACGAAAACTAGCATTTTCTACGTACATTATTTTTCAAGATACAGGTTTAAGTTTTTTATGAGTTTATAAATTGTTGACCTCTTTCATAAATAATCAAAAATTAAAAATTTTGATTTTTTAAAACCTTTTTAAAAAGTTTTGTATTGATAAATATTCAATTGCATATAATTTAAGTGTAACTTGATACTTTTTTCATAGCAAATCACTGAAGTACGGCCAGTACTATTTTAATAAAAAAGGTCGTATGTACTTCTGCCGTATTTATAGAGAAAAAAGTCGTAGATCGCAGTTTATCCCGAACTGAGATGATCAACTAAGACAAACTATTTTTAAAATGTAATCAAAATGGAATATTTTAGGAGCAGAAACATTGATTTAAGGTTAATATGACAAAATCTCTCCATGAATCGCAAAAAAAATTGCTTAACCACGCAAGAAAATTACGAAATACAATTACACTCCTAATTTTCATCTGCTCTGTACCTACGCTTTTTTTTCTTCATAAATCAAGCCTCGGTTTATGCCTTTTCCACAAAAAAACCTCCTTTATTGCATTTTTTATTTTTTAATCTATGCGTTTTCTCCTCGATTTCATTAAGTATAAAAATTAAGTGCGCTTACGCCGTCATTCTGACACAAATTTCAAATTTTACATCACTTACGTCCTTTTTTTGGCACTAGATCAAAATATTTTCTGTAGTGAAAAAAAAAAAAAAAAACTTACTTAACTTACAACAAAAATTACTGTTATAAACATTTAAAGTTATTGTTCAAATAGTACAAAGTCTCTAGACGACCGAACACTATAAGATTACCATTTTAGCAGATTTATTTTTTATTATTTTTTGCTCCCAGAGTGACATTAAGAATATTCCATAAATTATTACAAATCATGCAGAAAGAAGCACAGGAATTTTTACGGTAAAAATAACCGCAAAGTTGAGACTGAAAACTATAAGTTTCACTGTAATGTTTAGTAAATTTTACCGTAGCTTTATAGTAATATTTTCTTTTAGAGCAAATCTACTCTTACCAACCAGCGTATACACTCTGCGGAAATTTACGCGACTGAAGTTTGGTTGGCCAATCAGAGTAAAGCTCCCCGTGTATATAGTTATAGAAAGACTGTGTTGCCAAAGTTTTGCTGCATAAATTTTCGCAGCGTGTATACGCAGCCTAACACTATGGTAACTTTTCCCCTGATTAAAAACAAAAAATATATCAGTGATCAACAATACAGATACTTATATTATTACACATTATGTAAGTATTATCTGTTTTATCGACGACTGATGTAACATTTTTTTTTAATCAGGGAAAAAATTACTGTAGTTTTAGGGTGAAAAGTATTGTAAACAAGGATAAATTTCACTGTAAAGAAAATATTACTGTAACGCTACGGTAAAATTTACGAAACATTACAGTAAAAATTATAATTAAAATTTTCAGTCTCAACTTTACTGTTGCTTTTACAGTAAAAATTCCTGTAGCTCTTTTCTGCGTGTTGAAAGACTGTCCTTAATTTCCACAAGAACATTGAAATTTGAAATCAATTTATGAATCGATTGTAACAAGAAAGTAATTTGCAATCGAAATGTCACTTAACGACTTTTTTTTGGGACGGCAGACTTGCTTATGGTATTTTGAAAAGTTTCTGCTAATTTTATGAAAATCTTTGTATTATCTGCTTTAAAAATTTAAAGCAGAGGAATATTTAATCTGACTTAAAATGATTCTATTGATTTTATTTGCAATAATTTTTCAAGCATTGGTGTCTAACAAAAAAGAAAATAAATAAAATGAAATAACAAGAAATTGTAAAGAAATTTAAAAAAATTATCGTGCAACTTCCCTTGTGATTTTGTAACAGTCTAAAAATGTATCATAGCAATTGACTACATAACAACATACAGCTGGACAATTATTTTTTTCCTCGTTTTACACATTTTATGAGATAAATAATACATTTATTTACAATATTTTAGCGTTAAAATTCAGATTAAAGAAGTCACGAATACGATGCGAGACAATGTACAGAAGATGTTGGAAAGGGGTGAGCGCCTCGAGGATTTGCAAGTAGCAAGTGACCGGTTGAACTTAGCTGGAAGTGACTTCCGTGAAGCTGCAAAGAAAGCCCAAAGACGTGCTTGGATGCAAAATATGCGCCTAAGAATAATCATTACAATGATAACAGTTGCTGTTATTCTTTGCATCTTAGGTAAGAGTTTCAGTTTTTAATTAAATTTTTTCATAGAGATGGTGCGAGTTCAAAGAACTGTATTATATAAGTTTAAATTCACCTTTAACGCGCTAATAGCATTAGTACAATAACTTGTTGTAGTAAGACATGCTTTTTCAAGTTTGTACAAGAATAAGTTAATCAGATGTTTAAATAGTACTAATGCAAAAAGGCCACACATTACACTACTTTATACAAAAATAATTTTTTATTCGTGCATGTAACGCAGTGATTATAAACTTTTACTTTTTTTGATCGTATTTGTGCAAGGAATTTAAAGCAGATTTTAAGTTAAAATTTTCGCCAGCTTTTATTAATAACTATACTTAATTCCATTGTTTATTTAAAAACGAAAAAAAAAACTAGAAAAATCCAAAGTCGCATGCATTAGATAATAACATTTTTTTTAATGTACAAAGTTTAGAGTTCATACGTAAAATAATGGCAGTTTAAATAGTTCTTGTTGTAACAATTTTTGTTTGTTTTGGCGTTAGGACTTTTCAAGTGATCATCTGCATATTAACTTTTAATTTTTCATAGTAATGACTAATGATGTATTCTAGTGCATGCGATCTTGCATTCTTATGCTTTTGCATTTGTTTTTGAATAATCAATAAAAATGTGTATAGTTGACGACGGTGGCTGATGGCGCAAAATTAAAATTTGAAATCAGCTTTTACATCCTGTAAAGATAAAATATTACTCATTGTTTTATCAAGGCATTTAATGCTTCTAAGGCTAACTTTTTAAAATCATTATAGCTCTGATTATAGTAAAGAGATTTTTCAGTACTAAAAATTATACTTAAAAAATAAAAATTTTAGAAGAAATTTTTATTATAAATTTCGTAGTTCTTTCTACATTATTGGTTGAAACAATTCTTCCTTGATCGATGTCTTATTACATATCACAATATTCCAGTAGATGGTTTTATTATTTGTATGAACACTTAAATGATTAAGGATTCATGATGGTTAATCTGTGTCTTTTTGTTTATTGCTGTGATTGAATGTAAATTTTTTTCAACCTGAAAATACAGAAAAAGCTCTCAATAGTTTATAAAAGACAATGAACGTATACAAGCTTAAACCAATAAATTTAAAGATTATTGTGACTAAAAGGCACAAGAAAATGAAGGCACTTTTTTTTAATAATTCTGGTCAATACTATACCTTGTTCATATGGCCTATATGTTATCGTATGTTTCAAAATGATGTTTCTTGTTTCAGTTTGTTCAACTTGTAATGTACAATAAGTTATGCGTATTTTAGAAAATGAAGGCACTTTTTTTTAATAATTCTGGTCAATACTATACCTTGTTCATATGGCCTCTTCAGAGCAATTATTATTATTTTTTGCTCCCAGAGTGACATTAAGAATATTCCATAAATTATTACAAATCATGCAGAAAGAAGCACAGGAATTTTTACGGTAAAAATAACCGCAAAGTTGAGACTGAAAACTATAAGTTTCACTGTAATGTTTAGTAAATTTTACCGTAGCTTTATAGTAATATTTTCTTTTAGAGCAAATCTACTCTTACCAACCAGCGTATACACTCTGCGGAAATTTACGCGACTGAAGTTTGGTTGGCCAATCAGAGTAAAGCTCCCCGTGTATATAGTTATAGAAAGACTGTGTTGCCAAAGTTTTGCTGCATAAATTTTCGCAGCGTGTATACGCAGCCTAACACTATGGTAACTTTTCCCCTGATTAAAAACAAAAAATATATCAGTGATCAACAATACAGATACTTATATTATTACACATTATGTAAGTATTATCTGTTTTATCGACGACTGATGTAACATTTTTTTTTAATCAGGGAAAAAATTACTGTAGTTTTAGGGTGAAAAGTATTGTAAACAAGGATAAATTTCACTGTAAAGAAAATATTACTGTAACGCTACGGTAAAATTTACGAAACATTACAGTAAAAATTATAATTAAAATTTTCAGTCTCAACTTTACTGTTGCTTTTACAGTAAAAATTCCTGTAGCTCTTTTCTGCGTGTTGAAAGACTGTCCTTAATTTCCACAAGAACATTGAAATTTGAAATCAATTTATGAATCGATTGTAACAAGAAAGTAATTTGCAATCGAAATGTCACTTAACGACTTTTTTTTGGGACGGCAGACTTGCTTATGGTATTTTGAAAAGTTTCTGCTAATTTTATGAAAATCTTTGTATTATCTGCTTTAAAAATTTAAAGCAGAGGAATATTTAATCTGACTTAAAATGATTCTATTGATTTTATTTGCAATAATTTTTCAAGCATTGGTGTCTAACAAAA